ACAGAGCAGAGAGCTCGTGTTTGCATGACCATATGTGTCCTGGCCAAATCCTGCTCTCCAAAATCTGCCTTGAGGCCAGTTAGTCTATAAGGTGTAACTCTGTCCTAACACAGCTACCTACCTCTTTCTGCTTAAACTGCAGAACCTAGACTAGCACCCACGAGGCTAATACCACCACCGTTTGCTCCCCCATGCATGGCGGGTCGTCCAGACCACAAGAAACCCCAAATCCAGATATGCCCCCACAACACACAAGAGTGGGACAGCCCTTCTCTAGTCCACTTCTGTGCACTGAGACAAAGCCAAGTCAGCCCAGACCTCCCCTGGCAGACATGTATCTCACCTGTCCCTAAGCACCTCCCACGAAGGAGATGCTATAGCCTCCCTAGGCAAGGGGGTCCAGGGTTTCACTCTCTTGTAGAAGCAGGGTTCATCACATCTCCAGTCTAAACCTTCCTACCAGTCCCCACCCAAAATGCCTCTGCTATCCCCCTTGCTCTCCAAACCATGGGTTCTCCTGGCTCTTTGCTGCTGCTGGAGAGGACTGAAATCCTGAGTCATGAAACTCGGGCCAGATCTTACCCCACTTAGTAAGCACCTAAATGGATTTAGGTACCTAAATGCAATCCTATTTCTCCCTGCTTGAGGTAAGGCAAAAGGCATCCTGCACGTTGCTGTGTGTGACTCAGCCTCACAGCTCAAATGATGGTGTGTTGGACGCTAATGTTTATTCAGGGAGTGGAGAGGATGGACCAGGCTCACACTTGGGTGGTGGAGTCTGTAGGGCAGGGGCCAGCAATTATTTCGGGCAGAGGGCCGCTTACCAAGTTTTGGCAAGCTGTTGAGGGCCTCATTTTCCTCTCTCATACTAGGCAGGGGCTTCTGGTTGGGGGGGCGGGGCTGAGCAGGCCTTGCTGCTGGGTCCTGCCACCAGCTTTCCCTGGGTCCTAGTGCCCCTTTCTCCAGTCATCTTTGACAGGTAGCCAGGAGCAAATAAATACTAATTTTCTAAATTTTTTAGGGGCCCCGCAGACCGGATAGAATGGCCTGGTGAGCCGGATCCAGCCTCCAGCTGTATTTTGCCCACCCCTGCTGTAGGGTGTAATCCAAGCTATTTAGATAGCAAGTTCCTCTGCTTTTCAGGTGCCAGAATGATGGACAATATAGGCGGGAAGGACAGGCCCTCAGCTGTGGTGCTCCTGATAGAAACGTGACTCACTTGAAGTCTCATTTGGAGCTTTAGTTGTCCAGGATTTGGGCTTTAGCTGGTTTGGAGAGCCCCAGGTGGGCTTTTCTCTCTGAATGACTTGGATGACTTTGCTTACAGGAAAGGAGCCTTGTTAACTGAAGGCAGCTGTGACTCCACCCCCAGATCTGAGATGGAAAAGGCCTGGTAGAACATCTCACCTGTCCACTCATCTACTCCATCTCCCAACCTGGGCAGGATGATTCCCTTCGGCCTGTTTCCCCAGAATTTAGACTAGCCCAATTCAAAACATCCCTGAAGAAGAATCCCACAGGGCGATGAGAGAAAGGTTGAATAGGTCCTCTCACCCCTCTGGCTGCCCATGAAGGAAGGATCCCTACAGGGAAAATGCCAGACTAGTCTCAGAAGCACTGGCTCATCGCTATTGTACAACAAAATTGCCCATTTTGCTCACCAGCTTTGGCAAAAGCTCCAACTCAGCCAGGCTCTCTACCAGCCTCACCGGGCCAATGAACCCCCTCTACAACCTCCTTGCTGGACGCCAGGGCTCCCCTTACATCTCTCCTTCACTTAGCCCTACAACCAAGGTCTTTGTCCTCAAGTGTGAGAAGAGACGGACCCCAAATCTTAGGGGAGCCTATTCCAGGCTCTGTTGCTTAAACATCTTCCCCTTGTCCCTCCCACCTACAGACATGTATCCCTCAGCAAGGGAGGAGGGCAACCCAAAAGGGTTTGGATCTGCCAAGGGTTGGCTCCTTGGTGACAGACGGTGAGTCCCAGCCTAGCTCTTCATCCCCCCAGACAGTCTCTTCCTCCTCCAGAGACTTCTCACGCTAACCCTGGTGTCTCTGTTCCTCAAAGCCTTGGTCTCCCTCCCTAAGACGACAACCTAACCCAGCAGCAGAAGGCCATTCTCAGTCGCCAGGCCTCTGATTACTGCTCAGTTTAGGGGTCCCTGTGACCTAGGACAGACAGGTTCCTTCCCCTATACATTTCCCTCTTCCCTATCTGGACCCCGGGAGACAAAGTGAAGTTATTCTGGCATGAAACAAGGCTGCAGCACTGAACTAGAACAGCTGGGACATTGTACACTATGCCCAGGGCCCTATTATTAGCTTATGCCCTTGCCTTTCCCTCCCCAAATCTAGCTGCAGAACTGAAGTCTTCGATGCTGTTCTCATGGGACACAAAGCTTCAGGAAAGTCTCAACCTTTGCTCCAAATCCCTTCGAATTCAGTCTCGGAGAACAGGCTTCATTCAGGGATTTCTGAAGTCACACTGCCCTCTGCTGACATTTCGCTCTCCCGGGAAGATGCTGTAACAGAGGAGCACTGCCATTCTTGCTGCATCCAGGTTGATCTAAGAGCTTGGAGCAATGACCTGGAAATTACTGATTTCCCCTGATGAGCAGCCCTGGGAGAGGTACCTCTCAGACAGACGGGGCTGCCCAAGCGGCTGTCACGTGCAGTCTAAGCAGTACCCAAACTTCTCCCCCAGCATCAATTTCCGGCAGGAAGGCAGATCAGTCCTCCGGGAAACTTGCTGACAAGACGTTGGCGAAATAAATAAATGCCAGGATGAAGAACTGGGTTACGGTTATGCAAAAGCACACATCTGCAGTTTCTGTAGAACCAGTTCATACACTGCAGTGAAAAATCAATCGGCTGCAACGTGGGGCAGTGGCATGGATGGAGTTTGGGTTTAAAGATGTTGTCAGGATTTATTTCTCTTGATAGGGAGAGCAATAAAATGCTAACGGCCGGATCCTCAGCGGAAAGCACAGAATCGTAGGGCCTTGTTACACGGTAACTCAAGGTGGCTTCTGGAGCACTTAACCCCTGGGCTGGCTACATGTTAACACCTTTAAGTGGCTTAAAGCACTCATTATTCCACTTAACGTTACCCCACTCCAAGGCAGGATTATCTCCAATCCACCTAATTTTGCTCCTGTTTTATTAACTTGTGGCCACTCTCCACAGCTTTTCCACCCAAGCTGAAGTCCGCCAGCATCCCAGGAGGCAGCAGGCCCACTTTGTCTCCTGCTGCTGCTTGCTTTGACTGGCTCCGGTCCTGGCAGAAGCAGAGCTAGATACGTCCGAATGACACAGTTGCCCACCCTGCTTGGATCCAGCTCGCTCTGCTCCCAGTGGGGAGCAAAGCCGAGTCCAAACAGCAGCGGAGACACAGTTCCCTCCCTGCTCAGACCTGGCTGGCTCTGCTCCCAGCAGGCGCAGAGCCAGTCAGATCAGTGGCAAGAAGCACCACGGCTTCCAGGAGCTGGGGCTGCAGCACTCACTGTGCTCTGAGGGAGCAGGAAGCCTGTTCTGCCCCTAGCTCCTTGTCCAGCCCCTGCTCACCAAGCCTCTAGAGGCAAACCAGAGCTGTGCAGGTGAGGGACAATCAGAGCAGGTGTTTTGCCTTAGTGTATGACTGCTCCACTAAGCTGACTAGCACTAAGCCGATTAACATTTGTTCAGCTTACAGCATAGAGAAGCCCATGCCCATAGAGAAGTCGGGCTGGAAGGAACCTTCAGAGGTCACATCCAGTCCAGCCTCCTGTCTGAGGCAGGATCTGCCCTATCCAAATCATCCCAGACAAATCCACAAGATAAACGCTTAGTAAAACTACCGTCAACCCCAACACAACACAAGACATCACACCCAACCCTGCCACAGGGAGGGCGGGGGGACCACGGCAGCCAATGTCATGCTGCTGCAAAGGTTGATAATATATACTTGAGAAATTCTGGGTAGAGGGTCATGCCCCCTGCTACAGAGGGAGGCAAACTTCCCCCCAGTCTGTACCAATCTGACCGGGGGGGAAATTTCTTCCGGACCCCAAATGCAGCATCAGTCTGACCCTGAGCAAAGAGGCAAGAGCCTCCAGCCAGGACCCTCCAGGGTTGAGTCCCAGCAGGAGCACTGGCACAGCCCAGTTCCCATCCCCAGCCTGGGCTTCAGCCAAAACCCAGTGCCTCTGAGGGAGGTTTAAAACCCCCTGACACATGGAGCAGAAACAAGGGGCGGGGGCAACCAGCAAAGTCCAGAAACCTGGGAAACCCCCATAGCAAAACACAGGCATCGCTGCACCTAGATCATCCCCGCCCAGTGGCAGCTCAACCGCTTCTTGAACATAAATCAGTGCAGCCCTTTTGAAGGCAACTGAGTTACTTCTGTTCACACCAGTTGAGGAACTGGCCCCTGAAGGTGTTTTAACGGAGCTCCGGCAGGCTCCGCTTTCAGTTGCCGCAGCACATAACAATCCTTTGGTTATACACCGCAGATGTTATTCTCCCCCAGAGCCAGGTCCTATTGCCACACTTGTCCCCACCAAGCCTGATCCCAAGCCTGGTCACTCTCTCTACAAGCCTTGTATCACCACCACATTGGCACTGAATGGGACTGCAGATCACAAGTTAGTAGACAGAGCTGCAAGGAACATGCTTCTTCCATGGATCCCACAGCAGGAGACAAAGACCAGACTCCATTCCACCTATTAGACCTCAAAGGGCTCTGCCACATGTATAAATCAAAGCTGGATAGAAACCAGCTATAAAGTTGTTTCACATTTTCACGCATTAACTTTGTAGCTAGTCGGCTCTTTTTATAGCTGGACGGCCATTTTTATGGCATTATAATTACTCTGCATGTGTTGCTGGTCTAAATTTATTCCTCAATTCACCAGTTAATTTTCTGACAATTACTTTGTACATGTGGCCAGTCAACATTTACTGTGATTCACCAGTTAATTGTGTGATAATTACTTTGTACATGTGGCCGGTCAAAATGTATTGCACGGTTCACCACTTAATAGCATGATAATTATTTTGTACATGTGGCTGGTCAAAATTTATTCTGCCATTCACCAGTTAATTGCGTGATAAATACTTTGTACATGTGGCCAGTCAACAGTTATTCTGCAATTCACTAATGAATTGTGCGATAATTACCTTTTACATGTGGCCAGTTTCAATTTACTGCACGATTCACCAGTTAATTGCATGATAATTACTTTGAACCTGTGGCCAGCCTAAATTTATTGCACGGTTCACCAGTTAATCATGCAATATATGTACATGGTAGGGGCTTGAGTGGACGTAGCTACCCAAGTTCCATTGTGTTCTGCCATGCTTGGAGTCCCTGAAAGTAGATGACTGTATGCGCTTGTGTAACACGCCTTCATCTCACTCTTACAACTGAGCTGCCCACAAGCAGTGAGGAAGAGCAGGACCCGCCTGCCCTTTGTATCAGCTGCTTTTCAGGGATTCACACAGGATGAGAACAGATCACGTGTAGGCAGCCTGATGCATCAACAGGAATCTTGCTGCTGACTTTCAAACAGGCTTTGGTTTGAGCCTCTGACACATCAGGCTGCAATTCTGTTTCCTTGCTGCTTCCAAAGCCATTCATTAGAATCTCCTTCGAGGGGTGGGAATGAAGCCCATCAGCTCCCAGTCTTAGGCCTAGGGCAGAGCAGAAGCTGAATTTGCCCCTCCATGCGGTGCGGGATCTGGACTATCCCCTGATGTTTGAACAACTAAACAGCGCTCATCCAAACCAACCCACAGGAGAGCAAACAACCAAGTCCATGTCTCAGCCTCAGAAGAGCAGCCCCCAGCCTGCCCCCCACAGTCTGCAGCCCACCTACCAATGGTCTTGATGACGGCCTCCTGGAACATCCTCTCCTCGTGCTCCTTGATGATCTTGGTCCCGATGCTGATGGCACAGTCATAGCTGCCCGTCAGCTCGTAGTCGATGCTCAGCCGGAGCTGCCTCAGCAGGGTGTTGAAGACCTCCAGCACTGTCGGTCCTAGGAGACGCAATGGGCATGAGAGAAGGCATTAGGGTTTCCAATCCTTAAATCCCAGCACCTGAACCATTCATGCTTCTCTTGGGACAGAGAGGTCAGACAGAAAAGCATCTCAGGTGCGTGGTGGCCCCTGCTTTTTGGACCTCTCCGGAGACGCGTAGCAATGTCTTCATAGTACAATATTAAAGCCAAGAACAGAACCCAGGAGGCCTGGAACCGAGCTCCCTGCTGTAAGGTCCAGACAGTAGGTGTGTCTACACGCCTAACCTTAATGCACCTTTGCTTAAGGTGCATGAAAGAGATTTAGGCACACATATACATGTGGGCACACTAATGCACATTAAGGTGCATTAAATTTAGGCACAAATAGCAAAGTCACATTAGCACACATGTAGACGCACTAATGCGCATTAACGCAGTATGCATCAATTGACACACACTGCGTTAATGCGCATTAGCGCATCTACACATATGCTCATGCGGCTTAGCTATTCGCACCTAAATTCGATACCTGCTTTATCCAAGTATCAAATTCAGGCTCACATAGCCTAAAATTGCCATTTCTAAGGTGCATTAAGGGTGTGCATGTGTAGACACCTGCCCTTAACGTGCCTTAAAAATGGCAATTTTAGGCTAAGCCTACTTAAAAGAGTCATGTGTAGACGTGCCTAGTACTTCCAATCCTATGGTGTTCAACATCAGAGCTCAGCGCTAAAGAGAGACCCAAAGGAGAGAGAGCCACAGGGTTGTGGGACTGGAAGGGGCTTCTCAAGCTATCAGATCCTGCTTCCAGCACAGAGGCAAACCTGCCTGACCCCAGCCATGCCCATTCTGACCCCACCACACCCCACAGGCGCAGAGTGCCTGATAAAAAAGCCCTCTTTGTATCTGGCCAGAGGGAGGAGACCATGTGATCCTATTGAGATGGAGAATAAAATGGGGAAACACCGAAGATGTCTTCAAAGATGTTTCCTCTTGCTTCCCTGCCAGACAGACAGACACAGAGTCTCTGGCTAAAGAGATCCCCCTTCTCTTCCCATACAGCGGATGGCCGCCCAGCCCTTGTGCTTACCCACGGATCCGGAAGCTGCAATGACGGCTGCCTCCGAGAGGACCTCCACAATCCCCGCGCGCACAGTGGCCGCGCTCTTGCTGTTGGCATCCAGATGTCCCAGGAGCTGCTGGATCACAAGGTGGGAGTGCTGAGGCTGCAGGAGAGAGCAGAATGGCGTTAGCTGGGGAGGGACACATGTCAAACACCATCTAGGTCCACCACATTGTGTCTAGAGCCAGGGAAGCCTGAACCCATTCCCACCCCAAAAAAGACTGGCAGCTGCAAGCTCCAGCGGGGCTCAAAGAAGCCTTGCAGCTGGCAGCTGGCTGATGGCACAAGCAGGGCCGGTCCTCACGACTTTGCCACCCAGCCTCCAAAATCTAGAATTAGCCTTCCCACATCCATGCAGCGGGGCTGAAACCAGGTGGCCCCGGAGGTCCCTTCCAGTCTGAAGTTTCCAGAGCCAACCACGCCGACTAAACCAAAGCCGCTGATCAATCATTAATCATTTGTAGTCACGCTGGCCCCTCGAATTATGCTGCCTGCTTTGTCCATATTGCACACCAGCCCTGGGCAGGGGCTGCAGGAGAGTCCAGCTTGCTGTCTCACCATGTGGCATCAGGGAGGAGAGTGGTGGAGCTCACAGGGCGGTGGTTGCTTCTGCGCAGATCCTGTCTTGACCATGCAGGGAGCTGCCGTTCACAAGGAAGACCAGCGGCAGTGAAATGTGGGCCTTTGCTTGTGGACTTTCCCATGCAAAGCCAACTTCCAGCCTACGCCATATGCTACTGAAACCAGCAAGGCGGCACAGAGGGGTGGGGTAAAGAGAAGAGGAGTCTGGGAAGAATCTGCCCCTCAAAGTGGCAAATCCAATGAGCACTGAGATGAGTTTAGACAAGAGGAAAAACTTTCTCACTAGGAGGGTGGTGAAGCACTGGAACGGGTTACCCAAAGAGGTGGTGGCATCTCCATCCTTGGAGGTGTTGAAGACCCGGGTAGACAAAGCCCTGGCTGGGATGCTATAGTTGGGGCTTACCACAGACCCTCATGCACAACTACAAGGCCCAAAACCAAATATACCCTGAAACATGTTACAGGTAAAAGCAGTGGAGGATGAGGACACTGCCAATATGATGACAGGGAGCATATTGCCCTGCCACTAGGGTGGCATCTGACTGTTAATTAGCTGGAAATGAAGGTAGGGCAGAGATCCTGGTGCTATCCAAACACCAACTGTGAAGCATTTTCCATGGCCTGGGGAAATTTGTGGAGATATGGAGAATAATCCCTTCCCAGACAAGAAGTTGGGAGCTGGGACCAGCCACTAGATGGAGGTGCAATCACGCCGTGTGCTCCAGTGCACTTACGAGTGCGAACACCCAGGACTGTAGTGTAAGGAACAGTTCTGGCCAGGCAGAGGGGTGCACTAGAGCCCCACGCAGGCCTTTTGCAACTCCAATTATTGTATTTGTAGATACAGGATGGAAAGGCATCCAGAACGAATGCTGCCGTTCCAAAAGCAGCGTGTTTGGAGTCACAGTCTGGAGACACTCCTAGCGGGGAAGCAATTTAGAGATAAAAGAGAATGGTCATCCTTAATCCTGGGGGTTTCTGAAAGGACGTGCTGGATTGGCCTGGGGTTTTGTCGCCAGTTGTGCCGTCTTCAAATGGATCCTGCTGCCTTATTCACAGCCAGGGCGTAAGATTTGTATCCCCAGGGTTTCAAAAGCCATAATCTAAACCTTTTTAGCAGGCGTACCACAAATTAGCTCCACACCCTCCCCAAGTGCCACTCTGATTCCCTTCCCCTGCCCAATCTGCTGCTTTGCTCTCTGTCTGATCTGCTGCTCTGCTTTCTGCTCCCTGCCATGGGATGGGACAGGACAGAGCCAACACAGACTGTCCCCTCCTCAATCTGCCACGTGCCACACACAGAGGCTGGCAAGACACAGGTTGGCCACCCCTGATCTAAGTAGAGGGGGTTTCATGAGGTTCACCGAGACAAATGCGGCAAGAAGACGTTTGAGGATTTTTTTTTCATTGGGCCGTTACTTGCTGGGCAGGCAGGAAAGGGCGAGGGAGTGAAATAATGAAACAGCAAGAGATTGACCCGTCTAGTCACGCTGGCCAAACTGTGCAAAGAAGAAGAGGGTAAACCACCAACAGGACCGGTGCAAAGTAAACTGGCTAGGAGTCAGGTAGAGAGGGCACAGCCATAATGGTCAGCAAGAAAGACTATAGATTATAATAATATTGTACCATGTCATATGGTAGCTAAATAATGAGAAAATGTATTTCCTTTGGGACTCATAGAAAGAAATCAAAGCCACGCTTCCAAGTCCTTTAGGATTTCTAAACCCCTGTTTAGCCAAAACTAAACTTGGGGTCTGCGGCAGCGCTGCCAGATGGTTGATAATCATTGTATCGGTACAGCAAATGCAGCCCTTGCCCAATATAAGTGAGATGACTACAGAAGCAGTCAAAATGTGATAATTCAGGAGAAGCATAGAAGCAGGGACAATCATAGAAAATGAGGGTGAGAAGGGACCTCGTCCAACCCCTGCTCCAAGCAGGACCAGCCCCAACTACATCATCCCAGACAAGGCTTTGTCTACCCGGGGCTTCAAAACCTCCAAGGATGGAGACGCCACCACCTTGCTAGGTAACCCATCCCAGTGCTTCACCACCTTCCTCATGAGAAAGTTTTTCCTAATATCCAACTTAAACATCCCTTGCTGCAACTTGAGGCCATTGCTCCTTGTCCTGTCACCTGAATCCAAAAAGTGGATTCATTCTCCATTTGAATGAAAAGGCTTGTCCTCAGCCAGTGCTTGTCTTAGGCCAGCACTCCAACGTCGGCCGACTTGGAGATCTCCAAATGGTGTGGGCTTGCTTGGAGGCATGTTACATGTGGCTTTGGATCTGGGTTTAGATCCAAGAGGAGTGTGTGGCCACACAGGACAGAGATCCCGAAGCAGCGCTCAATGGAGGCATTGAAGTTCTCCGAGATGCTCCAAATCTCTTAGCAAGACATTCCTATCTAAAAGGCATGCACAAATTTCATCTCGCTCTACTTTCCATCTTTCCTAAAGGAATCACAGAATCATACAAAATTAGGGCTGGGAGGGAGCTCCCGAGGTCACATTCAGTCCAACCCCCTGCCTGGGGCAGGATCAGCCCTGTGCAAACCAGCCCGGACAAACCCATCATCTAAACTCTTCATAAAACTACCATCAACCCTGACACAAAACGAGACATCACACTTGAACCTGCCACAGGGAAAGCAGCAACTGGCCTGATCCTGAGCATAGGGGCAAGACCCTCTGGCCTTGGTCCCAGCAGAAGCATTGGCACAGCTCAGTCCCCATCCCCAGCCTGGGCTGCAGCTCATACCCAGCGCCTCTGGGAGAGGCTTAAAACCCGCCTGACCCATGGAGCAGAAATGTGGGGAGGGGGCAACCAGCAAAACCAAAGGAGCCTTGGAAAACCCCATAGCAGAGCACAGGCATCGCTGCACCTAGACCAACCCTACCCAGTGTCTTTCCGCCCTCTCCTTGAACACCTCCTTGGAAGCTTTCGAGAGCAGGTTGGACGGACACTTGGCTGCGATGGGTTAGTCAGGGATGCTCCTGCCTTGGGCAGGGGGCTGGACTAGATGACCTGGGGTCCCTCCCACCCTGCTTTCCTATGACCCTGTTTCACCTGCCTTCCTACTGAGACAGCGAGTCCTGCCTGATTTTAAAGGCAGCCATCTGGAAAGGCGCAGCTCTTCCCCAGAGTCAATGGCTCCCTTCGGGGCACTGGGAGGCACGTTGCTGTTCCACCAAATGCAACAGGGCTCGGCAAGCGGATGAGGGATCGCTCCCCAAGCCAGCACCTGCCACGCTCCTCAGTGCCGTGGGGCTTTGCAGGCTCACAGCAGACAACTGTTAGTCCTGGCTCTATTCCAGATCGGATGATTGCACAAGGCCGCCTGAACGCCTCCCCGAAGCGTCAGTTCTGCACGGGCCTCTCCTGCATGCCCCAGCTTCACGGCTATGGTAGATTTGCAACGCGACCGTCTCCTGGTTTCAGTAGCCAAGGGCCATCGGCTCCAATGCATGGAAGGGTTGTCTGTGCCGATGGATACGCACTGCAGTGAACTGGCAAGCACCTGGGCCTCGGCTCTGGCCAGTTCAGGGCAAACCGCAGTAATCTCTGATTCCCCTAAAGCACAAGGTCCAGAACCAGCACCGGATTCAACAGCCAGCATCAGGCCACTGGTGACTCTGACTCTATCTAGAAGTGATGCACATGCACACACATACACACACTCACTCACATGCACAGACACACAGACACACACTCATGCATCCACATGCACACCCACACAAGCACACACATGCATGCATACACATACATGCACGCGCACACACTCATGCATGCACATGCACGCATGCACACACACACACTCTTTATTTCATACAGCCCTGGGCACACACTCGCATAATTGTGATTTCATGAGGAGAGCAACATGTGTGCGCACACACACAAACATGCACATACACATGCATGCGCGCACATACACTCACACACACACTATCTCTCTATTTCATACAGCCCTGGGCATACACTTACATAATCGTGATTGCATGAGAAGGAGAATGATGTGCACACACTCGCACAAACAAACATGCACACACAAGCATACACACTCTCTCTCCATTTTATACAGCCCTGGGCACACTCGCATAATCTTGATTTCTTGAGAAGGAGAGCAATGTGTGCCCATGCACACCTACACACGCATACTATCCATTTCACAGGACCAGTGCTACACACTTGTGAAGTTCTGATTCCACCTAGCAGAGGAGAACGATGTGTGCATGCACACATACACACACACGCATGCACACACACACACTACTCATTTCATACAGCCACTAGCACACACTTGCATAGTTGTGATTTCATGAAAAGAAGAGCAAGGTGCAGCACACAAATGCATACACACATACACAACTACACATGCACACTAGTGATTTCACAGGGCCAGTGCTACACGCTTGTGAAGGTCTGATTCCACCCAGCAGCGAACGATGCACATGCACACAACCCCTCGCAGCCGGCTGCTCACCTGGATAGAGTACATTATGATCTTAAAGCAGCGAACGGCAAAGATCTTGGGCTCCCAAAGTGAGTGGTTGTCCAGGTGGCTTGCGGGAAGGGAAAGAAGAAAAGAGCAGAGTGAGCTGAGCTGTCCCACAGCCTAATAGATGTGCTGCTTGGGGGGAAAAGGGGGCAGAAAAGGGTTGGCTATGAAGCAACTCTCTCTCTGGCATGCGGAAGATGGGGCAGCAGTTGGAGCGGGGAGGGAAGGAGGCAGAAGTGCAGACTCCCGTCTCCCGGGCAGGCAGAATCTGCAAAGAGAATGCAACCCATTCCCATGTACCAGGCACCCTAAATGCACAACACCCGAGGCATTGTCCCAAATCCCCTAGGACACTGTCACCATCTCATTGCAGCCACAGATATAAGGAACGCATTAGAGGCCTTGGCATAAGGCAGAAGGCCCCTTCCAGCCCTGTACTCTTTGGTCCTTGCACTGGGATTCAAGCAGACACACCGGGATCTGCCCATCTCCTGGGCCAGACCCTGCCTGCTATCCCACAAGCCCAGACCTCACACTGATGTTTCTTACTCAAAGACACTTGGCATAAGTGCCTCCCTCTTGCAGACATCCTCCGTTATATAATGGTTGGAATGAACTTTGAGGAAGCTCATAAAGAAACAGGCTTACAAGGCCAGATTGCATGTTTTTGCTGATGCAAACAAGACAGCACTGACTCGAGTGCTTGACTGCCATCACACAAAGCAAGAGAAACCCCTTACCCTAAGGAATAGCACTGCATCAAGAGTGGAAACCTGACTGATAACATCTGAGGCCATCCTAGTTAAAACTGTTATGCATTTAGCTAAGGAGGGGGGTCTTCTGGATCAATCCCTGTCATTAGCATAGACTCCAGTCAGGTTGTGCATAGACACTTCATTAATATCTGCAAAGCTAGGAAGGTAAACCTGGGGGAAGTGAGGGATCATGGACCTGAGCTGTTGGAAGACCTGAACAAAAACTTGGCATTCCCAGGGTCCAGCCCACACCCAACCTCCTGGACACGACTATGTCTTTGCATTTTGCCTGGTCCGAATGCTAGTCACACTCCTGTTTAGCTTTCCAGTGAAGTGATGCTCTGGAGAAGAGACAGGCATGCTCTCTCCTTATTCCAGGGCATTGCCTGACAAAATAAGCTCCCTTTGTCCCAGTTTGGGGATAGAGGGCTTCCTTTCAATGGACAGCAGAAATGAGGCTCAGATCTCTCACTTCCTGCCATCTGAGTGCAAGGAGAATCGCCGCAACCTGGGAGCAGTACAGGGCACATGACACACAGATGACTAGAGGTCATCTAGTCCTCTAGCTTGC